TTATCACTCTACACACCAATAGAATCTAACTAAAATTTTCATAATATTCAGCTTTGAGTCTGTGGATTCAAAAGTTTTTCATGAAGACTGTCACAAGCATGACAAGACAACCCATTAAGATCAACATGAATCATTATCTAATTATAAGATATCCACTGACAAGGTTCTTGACCGTGGACAATTTTTCTTTCAAATGTTGCAGGTTAATGTTTGTTACATTGGAAATAGACCAAAACAGAAATATCCTTTTAAACAACTTGAATATTTCAATCCCTCTCCTTAGTAGCCCCAATCACCTTCTGATTATTCAATTTGCTACACCTAAAAACTTTGTATATATTATATATAAACAGAGATGTATCAACGATCAAGGTATAAACAAAATTAAATTTGACAAAGATTCATTCAATTGATGTTAAATTTAGCTGAATAAACATATTTTAAAATACCAGGAAGATTGTTATAGCAGTTTAAATTCTTTTGACTTGAAATGGGGAAATAAATACAACATAATGTATACATTTAAATAGAAGAGGCATGGTTGATGAATTGTCAAATGCAGGAGTTGTTCAAAACAGCCCATTACATTTTCATAAAAGAAGAATAAAATGGCTAGGTCACCCATCAACCGATTGTCGACTTTGTCGTCATTCAATATAATATCCATAAAGAAGTTATTTTCATCCAAAATAAATTTTAACCTTTTGCCACCTGATTTTTCTAACTCATGGCTTTATCTTATTTAAATGTACATACATTGTATATTATACATACAAATATACTACCGAGGTCATATAGTTGTCTAAAATTTTGAGAAGAACAATAGATCTGAATTTCTACAGCAGTGGAAAGTTATTACAGAACCGAGGCTGCAGGTACATATATATGCAATATGAAGCTTTCGTTAGACAGTACCTGTAACAACAGTGAAATCATGAAACCAGTTTAAGAGAGACAACCCTCTTGCAAAGATTTCAAAAGTCATGTTTTGAGAAAAATTCTTGGAAGAATGTTATGTATTGTGTGTTTGTAACAATGTGAAAAGTTCAATTCAATCCGAAAAGAGGATGGGTCACTCATGATAGCAAAGTTGAACCGAATAATTGTCATGTCGGTAAAATGCTCCCTTAAGCATTTACTATAATATAACTGATACTGGCATTTGGTGTAGATAAAAATAATTTGCTTAAATTATACAAATGTATACTAAACAGGAAATTAACTTTGGCGTTATCAACTATTTCCATAGGGTATATTATATATATATAGGTATATCACATGTATATATCTGTTTTAAACCATGTAACTAATCAACCATTTTGTATAAAATACTTTTTTAAATATTCGAATTATAACTTTGACAAATGACAATATACTTGTCTATTATCCTATAAAACAATTTATATCTATCTCGGAAACTATCAGAGGTGAGAGCTGACATAAACTGTCAAATTTTAATATGGCCAAACTTTATTAAATTCATTAATAACAGCCACCACTAACCATGCTAACAGTAACAATTAAGTTCAACTGAAATTTTCTTTAAATGTGTTAACACTCAAAATATTGAAAAACTAAAATTGACTACAATGTTATTGTTGACCTTCACAACTGTACTCAAGTCATAAAATGGCTCATGGCTAGACAATGTACAATCCAGAAACGACATAGTTTTGTCCAAGATTGTTATGATGTTCTGTAAGAGTACACTGTACTGTTGTGCTATAAAGTATAAATGTAATAATGCAAAAAAGTGACATAATAAAAAACAATAAAAGGAGATGTGGAATATATTTCAATCATGTCAATCATTTTGTCAATGGGACAGCAAGACAGATAACCAAAAGACACCTAAAGGGCAATATGCAGTCTTCCAACATAAGACAGGTCACTGGTGTCTATAAGACAGGTCACTGGTGTCTATATGTTATGTTAAGTTCTACTAATACTTGAAACAAAGCTCACACATTGATACCCCTGCCCCTTGTAGACCATGGTGTGCTTACCCCAAAAAATGATTTTGATGAAAAAAAGTAGGTATATGTAAGACTGTGAGAAATTTAAAAAAAAAATGTAATAAGAGATTTAGGAGGAGTTGCAGAAACAAAATGAGTAAAATAATTATTTTGTACATTTACATACATGAGCATGTATACAGTGAAACCTAATATTTTTTCATGATTCGCTTCGATTAAAAGTTTCAATTAGACCCTTAAGAAGTAGGGCAAGTGGGTAAATCCTAAACATAAGTGTTTCTTTTGTTTTGGTATAAATAAAACAACATTTTACATAAAAATAACAATGTGAACCAAATATGAAAGATACATGTATGACTCCTACAATTACACTAATAAAGCTCTTATGAAATGACAAGGAAAAATGATTTAAAGTTAATACTAAAATAGGATATAAAGAAGGAAATCATCACTAAGGAGAACAGGAAACTTTAAAGGAAGAATAAACAACAGATGGTTCAAGTGTTTCAAGTTGAAACAATATCTCAGATCATGTATTTTGAAGAGACTAAACACTTTTACAATAGTTAAAAGGGGATAGCACTTATACAAATGTACTGTCTCAGTGACTGTGTCTATATATGAGTATAAAGTCTTAAGATGAAAAAGTAGAAAAAGACTTATGAAAATATGTTTATGAAAAATGTAGAAAAAGACTTATGAAAATATGTTTGTCAAAAATGTACACCATGCTCAATTTAAATCACAATGAGCTTTCTCAATTAAAAATTTCAGGTTATTTCGACTTATTTGGTGTGCAAAATTTGTAGTCCAACTCGTTACAGTAGTGGATGTACATGTATGTACAATGAACATATATATATCATTAATCATTTTAAAAAATAAATTACAGCTACATGTGTATATCTATACATTGCTTTCTTGTAAATGTTCTGTAATATTGTATACAGGTTCATTTAGACAGACTTTTGTGAACTTTTCACACAAATTAATTCTAAAGTTCTTTAAATATATTTAAACAAGAAAATTGAACAACAATAAATATTCACAAGTGTGAAATTGGCCAATATATCAAGGGTTGATCTAAAATCATTGTGAATCTAAATCTGTCTCTTAAACTGAAGCTATCTGATGTTTTTTATGAGGTGATAATATTATCCTGATGACTTTTATGACTTTTACCTGAGGCCAGGTAGATTTACACAGGTAGACATCAAATGACCCATACTTAGGCCATATAAATGTTTACATATTTGTTTAATCACCTGTAATTATGTCAATATGTATAAAATGTATGACCCAATTCATCAACATTAAGTAATGTCCAATTTTCACAGGTATTGGTCTCGATGACAGGTAAAATTACATGGCATCAATTCCACGGGTGGCAATCAATTTGTATAACTACAAGGCACATGTTTCTTTCAGTTAAACATGTTTCATTTTTGACAAGGTGAAATGTTGTGAATGACATTGCCCCTGATAGTAAACAACTGTGTAAAGATTTGTAACTTTAGGTCTTGTAGTTAAAAATGCTTTTGACAATGAGTAAATTCTAGGAGGAATGGGTGTGGATATAGTCTTTAGGACTATAATTATGCTCCACTGTGCAAAAGTCATTTCAGGCCAACAAGTTTTGATGAAGACTAGGATGACTGGTCAATGACTTGAAAAATGAAGATATATAACTAACATACATGTACATGAATTAGGTTTTTGTAAGACGAAACTATTACCATGGTTACCAGATATCTATCATGTCTATGTACTTCAATACTGAAATAGCATAATTATACACAATTCAGCCATTTACATGTTAAAAGGGAAAAACAACAATCAGTGTTTGTCATTGAAACATTCAGAAAACCCCAAATTTATAGTTTCCTAATGTAAAATTCTTCCTTTAATAAGGCTTAGAACAGCTGTACTTGTAGCTTATAGTATATTTTGGCCATTTTTGGCAATTGTATACATGTATTCATGATATAGGTACCTCAACACTGAAGAGACAACCTATTATACAATCTCATTGTATAAAAAAAAAACATCTTATCTTTTGTCCTGTAAAATTTTGTTTGGTCTGGTAAATTTGGAACATTCAACAGCTATTATGGGACAACGTCTCTGAACAATACACATGATGATACAGTAAAAACTTCTTCAATGTTCCAGGATTTTACTTTGACTGATCTTCTTATTTTGACTTGACTGCCTTAAAAATGTGGGTGATCATTTGTTTTGTGCTAATAAAATATGTGGAGAAAGAATACATTTGTACCAGGCCATCCTTAAGAAATTCTGTTTGGTGTTGCATACCCATGCCTTCTAGGTTTGGGTAGGTAGGTAGGGATTTTATATTTTTTTTTTTTTTTTGGCCTACAGCACAAGTTACAGGCTTTAGACAAGAAAACAACGTTAGAGCAGGAAAAAATCTTTTTAAAAACAATTTGAGACGATTAGTGTCATTACATTTTTTCGGGAATGCTGCTTTTTATTAATTTAGATGGGTAGGTATGTAAAATCAAACAATTTAAATTTTATTTTTGGTCCCAGCAATGGCAGACAACTAGAATTCCTGTATCTTGTATGGTATAAATAAAGTTATCTATACATGTACATGTATGTTTATAAAATTCATCATTTTCTCCTGAAGAAGAGTTTTTTTACAGCGCACCCCTCGTAGACGGACTTAGTGTATCTTCAAATCACCATATATAAGTTTTTCTCATTTACCATGTGTTATTTTAATATATTGATCTTAAGGAAAATATTTATAAATGTTAAAGAACTTAACTCAAACTACATGCAACCAGTGTACTTAGGATTTTGTTTCTTAGAAAAGAAATAAACCAAGAAATTGTTTATACAGCAATAGATTTTTTTTTTTGGAAACTGATTCCACACGAATTTGAATGCGACTTTTTACAAGCCCCCTTTTTCAAGTGACGCATTGGAAAATGGCTTCCTCGTTTACCGGTTTGGGAACTTGGGCTATATATAAATAAAATGTTTTATACAACTTACCGTTTGAAAAGCTGCCACTAATTCATCGATTTGTTCATGAGAAAGGTCCACTGTTGTCCGACTCATCTTGAAAATTTATAAAAACACAAGAAAATCAAGATACAAAGTTTGTGTGTTCAGGGTGGGACAAAGTCACGTGATCAATCATACGGAAGTTATAATGACGGACATGACTCAAAAAATTTCCGGAAACACAGATTATTTATGACATTTTGATAGTGTCATGGTTACTGAATCACAGGTGTAAAAACACTATTTGCATATTGTTCTATAATGTCATAATTATTCTATTGTCATAAAAACTCATTGTTATCAATATATGAAATTTAAACCCTCAAAGGTCCATGATATATGTTACAGTGATTAAATCAGGATTTAAGTTAATGTTTATTATAGTGTTTCTGTAATTACTGAAAAGTATCATGAAAACGAATTATATAAAATTTAAATATAACTAAAATATAAAGACAGTACATTGGAGTGATTGCCGTCATAAGAGGAGAAAAAAAACACATAATTATGCAAAGAATTAGTATTTGATTGTTTTAGGCTATGTGATCCAGTGGCAATTATTACACGCATATCAGAACGAAATTATCTTATTGTGACATGAAAATTGATACATAAAAAGCTATTAAGTGTTGTATTATTAATTTGCAGCCTATAAAACAGCACATTTATCCACAAAATAATAATAATAATAAAAAAAGACCACAGACAAAATACTTCTTTGTTTTGATTTGCATTTCTATGAATAGGTATATAACCAACCAAGCAAAATAGGCCACCTTGACCTTTTTTATACGCTTCACTTACTTTGGTCATTTCTCAGATACATGTATTCTATCACAAAATGATTAAACTTTGAATAAATTTCTACACTTTCTTTAAATCCAAATAAAATTAAATGTAAATATTTGTTTAATGTAGGTATGAAGTTCTTCAACGTGGAGATGTGAAAAAATCGTAATAAAACGGTATTCATCAGATATTATATATGTATGTCTTGAAGACATGTACAACATAGTGCAAAAAATTCATATATCAATAGGTCATGGTGGTAGGGACAAAATGGTCAAGGAGGCAAAAAGAAAGAATGCAAATGTTTCATACGAAGTTTTAGAACTTTACAAGAAACTTTGAAAGGAATGCCAACTAAAAAAATGTAGAACTGTTGGTAAAGGCATTTTCGTAAAGCCTATAATAAGCAGAACCAAATACAATGAAAGTCCCAACTATATATATGTACTGGCTTCCGAAGCTACACAAATCACCTTACAAATATAGATTTATTTCGTCTCCAAGTCATTGTTCCACTACTAAATTGTATATTCTACTTACTAGTACAATTGGTACAATCAAAAACCCGATAATAAATTGTTCAAATAAGGCCTTTGAAAATAGTGGAATTAATTACTTTTGGAGTGTCAAAAACTCGTTGGAAGTACTTGATAAATTGCATGCATATATTGGTGATTTTGAATCTGTTCAAAGTTTTGATTTTTCTACCCTATATACCACTTTGCCTCATATTCTTATTAAGAAAAAATTCACACACCTAATTAAATGGGCATTTAAAAAGTCGGAATGCGAATACATATGTTCAAACTCTTTTAGGTAATTTTTTTAGTAGTAACAAACAAAAGAACTATGTCAATTGGACATGCTTTAAAACTATATCTGCCCTTGAATTTTTACTTGATAACATTTTTGTTCGCTTTGGAGATTCCGTATATCGTCAAGTTATCGGAATTCCAATGGGGACTAACTGTGCACCACTTATTGCGGACCTAATTTTGTATTGTTATGAGTTACAATTTATGACTAAAATCAGCAAAGACCCATCGAAACAACATCTTATACAAAAATTTAACAACACTTTTAGATATTTGGATCATATATTGGCTCTCAATAATGACGACTTCAGTATGTATACTAAAGAAATTTATCCTGTTGAACTTACTTTAAATAAAGCTAATACTAACAATGACCACTGTCCTTTCCTCGATCTTGATATCTAAATCATTAACGGGAAGCTTAATACAAAAAATTATGATAAAAGAGATGATTTTTCATTTCCTATCGTTAATTATCCATTTTTAGATGGTGACGTTCCCTTGTCACCATCTTATGGTGTTTATATATCTCAACTTGTACGATTCGCTCGTGTATGTAACAACGTATTAGATTTTAGCGAGAGAAATTTATGCATTACTTAAAAATTATTACACCAGGGTTTTCGATATCATAAACTAGTCAAAACATTTACTAAATTTTATCATTGGTATAAGGACATCATTCGTAAATATAACTCAACATGCAGACATCTTATACGTTCGGGTATTTCACATCCAATCTTTTATGGTAATATTCTTTACAAAGCACAAACATGTCAGTACTCACCTCAAAAGCTAACAAAACCTTTAAACAGACTTATTAAGAAGGGATATAGTTACGATACTGTTGCCAGGTCATTAAAGATTGCATATTTTGGCTTTAATATTGATTCACTTATAGGGTCTTTGCATCGGAATTAACACATTTATTCTAAAACCAGTTGTTGGCATGACACGGGTTATGTTCTTCTCATATATTTTATTACGGTATAATACTAAACCCCTAACAGGAGGGATTGTGCCGGATATTCATATAATGAAGACATAATCTTTCAATCAGTTTAATTGAGGTCTGGAGCTGGCATGTCAGTAACTGCTAGTAGTCTGTTGTTATTTATGTATTATTGTCATTTTGTTTATTTTCTTTTGTTTCCTATTCTGACATCGGACTCGGACTTCTCTTATATACTGAGTTTTACTGTGCGTACTGTTGTGCGTTTGTTTTTCTACATTGGCTAGAGGTATAGGGGAATGGTTGAGATCTCAAAAAACATGTTTAACCCCGCCGCATTTTTGCGCCTGTCCCAAGTCAGGAGCCTCTGTCCTTTATTAGTCTTGTATCAATTTTAATCTTAGTTTCCTGTGTATAATTTGGAGTTTAGTATGACGTCCATTATCACTGAACTAGTAAACTTATTTGTTTAGGGGCCAGCTGAAGGACGCCTCCGGGTGCGGGAGTTTCTCGCTGCATTGAAGACCCATTGGTGGCCTTCGGCTGTTGTCTGCTCTATGGTCGGGTTGTTGTCTCTTTGACACATTCCCCATTTCCATTCTCAATTTTAAATATTTCAATTCCCGAGGGCAGTTTTATTTGATAGACATGCAATCATACAAATATAATGACTATAAGTTTTTAATGGTATACCAGGATCATTTAACAAAATTTGTAATTTTACGCCGACTTACATAAATTCATTAAAGCGTGCATATGAAATAGCAATACAAATACTTGACATTTTCCTTCTTTTTGGTGCTCCAAAATTTTTCAAGTGATAATGGTGCCGGATTCACTGCAGACATCATTAGTGAGCTTAAAAATCTATGACCGGATGATGTAAAATTGTTCATGGTAAACCTTGACACCCCCAGATTTAAGGCAGCGTTGAACGAGCTAATGCTGATGTCAAGGATGTGGTTATCACATGGATGCGAGACAACAATTTAAAGACTGGCCTGTTGGTGTCAAATTTGTACAATTTGAGAAGAACAGAAGTCACAATTCAGGCATAAACAGAGGTCCATACAAAGCTATGTTTGGGGTAGATGTAAAAGTTGGGCTAACATCATCCTCACTCCCCGAAGGACTTATAGCTAAAATTGACAGCGAAGAGCATTTTTCAGATTAAGCAAACCTGGAGCTCAATATAAATACTGATGACGAAAACACATATACAACTGATGTGAACAAATGGACATTTCTGAGCCCCGACCTACTGAACCTAAAACTGATATGTGTGTTTTATGTCAAGCAACTGCACTGAATGCAACTTCGTGGTCTTCTTGTGAAAAAAACTGTACCTGCTTGATGTGGAAAATAGTTCATAACAGAAGAGTTTCCGTAAAAAGTAATTTGCTTTCTGTGTGATACGGAAACGGTAATTGAAAATGAACGTTCAAGCGCGTCTCAATCAATGGTAAAACACGCCAATCGCATGTTAAGTCGGTCTAACAGAATTATAGAAGAAGTAGACATTGTATATTATGTTGTTATTTATATACCAGTTGTTGGTCGTGGAAAGGGTGACCCAAGAAATATAATGGCAATTGTCCATGGAAAGCCAGAGAAAGGTTATCGTCTTGCTACCAAAATTCTCAATTTAAATGTTTCATATTTTTGATGTCGGGGCCTTTTATAGCCGACCTTACGGTATGGGTTTTTTTCTCATTGTTGAAGGCCGTACGGTTGCCTTTAATTGCTTACATCCACTGCATTTGAACTTTGGTGAAAAGTTGTCTCATTGGCAATCATACCACATCTCCTTATTTTTATATTGTCTTTTGTTAGGTCATACACTAGAAACCATTTTGAACCCACTTTTCGACCTACGTTTGCTATAAATTTTCAATAAAAAGTCATATTAAGATAGACCTCGTTCGTCAAATTTCCGAGAGTTTCACCCGGATTACAAAAAATGCAGTGTTTTGATTTTTTTCTAAAGGCTCGACAACCACGAAAGGCAAAATAAAATAGTTGATATCATTAAGAAGCGGATAACTTATTCTAGATCATGAATCTGGTATAATTTCAGAATTTTCTACGATTTTCCAAAATTTTAGTTTGGCATTTCATTATTCTGTCAAAACGCGTCTTTCAATCTGGCAGTGTAGTACGAATTTTCAAAATGTTGAAAAGTAGACAAGAACAAAATGTCAAAATGAGATATCATTTTAAATAAGGAATATTTTGTTACAGTTTGGTGTAAATCTTATTGGTATATTGTAAATGATTTTCTTTCGAAACATGCTGAAAATTTTAAGTAGTGCATAAAAAATACACCAGGCCGTTAGTTTTCTCGTTTGAATTGTTTTACATTTGTCATTTCGGGACCTTTTATAGCTGACTAAGCGGTATGGGCTTTGCTCATTCTTGAAGGCCGTACGTTGACCTATAGTTGTTAATTTCTGTGTCATTTGGTCTCCTGTGGAGAGTTGTCTCATTGGCAATCATACCACATCTTCTTATTTGTATACCCTCACGCTATATTCTGGTAAAGGTTATAAGAAACTACTTGAACTAGACATGTAAATGAAATACAATTCAAAA